TAAAAAAGAAGTTGGGTAAAGTATCTTCCTTGGTCACAGTGCATTGGCACTAGAAAAGCAGGAGATGCACAAATTAGAAAATATATAAAACACAAGTAAATTGGACAATATCGACATTTTAGTTTTAAAAATGGTGGCTCTCATCTGTAATCCTAGCTACTCAGGAGGCTGAGACCAGAGGATCGCAGTTCAAAGGGAAAGTGAGACCCATCTCAAATTACTACCAGAACACATGAAGTGGCACTGTGGCCCAAGTGGTGCAGGGCTTTGAGCCCAGAGACCAGGCCCAGGCCCAGAGTTCAAACCCCATGACCGAAAAGAAAAAATGGATAAAGCTACAAGTGAATTTTATTTAAACTACCTCAAATCACAACCTAATTAGAACGCTAATGTATGGGGGTTGGGTAAGCAGAAAGAGGGAAATACAGACCAGAAATTGAGAAAATTAAAAAGTTAAAAATTTCAAAAAATACATGAACAAAATTGGCAGATCTTTAAACATTAAGTGAAATTAGAAAAAAAGTGGAACATTACCAATCCTATAAAGGTAAACCGGATTATTATGAGTATTCTTTGGTATCATTGTGAGCAAAGGACACCCATACCCCCATCTTCCAATAAGTGGATTCCTAGAAATAAAACCAGCCAAGAATGAAACACAAAGGGAAATGAGCTGGGTGCCCTTGGCTCACGCCTGTAATCCTAGCTACTCAGGAGGCTGAGATCTGAGGATCTCGGTTCAAAGCTGCCCGGGCTGGACAGTCCATGAGATTCTTCAATAATCCACCAGAAAACCAGAAGTGGCACTGTGGCTCAAGTGGCAGAGCACTAGGCTTGAGCTGAAGAGCTGACAGCGCCCAGGCCCAGAGTTCAAACCTCATGACCAACAAAAAAAAAAAAAAAGGAAATGTAATTAGTATCAAGATTGGATCAGTAATTTAAAGCCAAAAAAACCAAAAGCAGATTGGCCTCATGGGTAAATTGTGCCAAAAACTTAAAAAGGAGCTATCACCAATCCTTACCAAATTCTTCCAGAAATATTCCTAATTCAACCTTTGATGCCCACAGTCCCCCCCCCCACAAAAAAAGGACACAGCAATAAGAAAACGGGTCAACATCCAGTGTCAATATTAGCTCAAAGTAGATTCTATAGCATATTAAAAGGATTTAAACCGTGATCAAGTGGGACTCAAGAGTTTAAGAACTTAACATTCAGAACATTGACACAATAAAGGGGTAAAGCTACATGATCAGCTGCATAAAAAGAATACTTTTGCATGAGACTAAAATCGAAAACAGCAACAAAAAAAAGGCCAAAAGCTTTTCTGCTAAGATTAGGAACAAGACAAAGATACCTGCTTCTAACTTTCTCCAACATTCTATCCAGGGCATTTAGCCCAGAACTAGAAATAAAAGGTGTCTATAAGAAGTAAAATTGTCTTCTGGAAAATGACTTTCTCTTATCTAGAAAACCCATAATTCGATAACAAAATATTAAATTTTCCAACATTACAGGATATATAGTCAATACACAAAAAGCAGTTTTTAAGATCAACAATAATCCACACTTTTATACCAAATGGTATAAAAAATTACTTAGAATAAACATAAGGTGGGGATGGTTTACATGCTAAAAAACCACAAGACAATGCCAAAAGACTAAGAGAAAAAGGAACAATATCTTTCTGTCCATGGATTAAGAAAATGTTACAACACTGTGCTTAAAATCCCTATCAAATTTCTTTTTAAATTTTATACAAAGCTCCATCCTAAAATGTATGTGGGCTCTCAAGGGACTCTAAATTACCAAACCATTCTTGTAAAAAGAAAAAAGTCTCACGCTTCCTGAGTTCATAATTATTAGAAAGCTGCAGTTATCAAAATAGCAATGCTGGCATATAGACCATGGAGTAGAAGGCCCTGAAGTAAACAAGTAGATAGCCAAATGATTCAACAAGGGTGCCAAAGCCACCCAGTGAGGAAAGACAATCTTTAATAAATGCTGCTGGGAAAAATCACATGTCTACACCATCACACAAATAAAAATGGTTCAAAAGTCTATAGTCTAAAACTGTAAAACTCATAGAGGAAAACCAATCAAAGGCAACATGACACTAAAATTAGTGATATGATTTCTTAGATACGACATTTAAACCACAGGTTGCAAAAGAAAAATTGCATCAGAATTACTTTCATGTATCAAAAAACTAACAATAAGCTAGGGGTATAGCTAAATGCTAAACTATTTGTCTAAAATACAGGAGGCCAGTGGCATTGTGGCTCAAGTGATAGGGTGCTAGCCTTGAGCAAAAGAAGCTCAGGGACAGTGCCCAGGCCCTGAGTTCAAGCCCCAGGATTGGCGAAAAACAAAAAAATAAAATACAGGAGGCCTTGGATTTGATCCCCAGCACCACCACCAAATAATCATCAATATCTGCCCTGAAAGGAAGAAAATACTCCACAAACTACACATTCCATGGATTCGAGGGGTTTAGAGGCATGGTTCAGGAGGGAGAGCACCAGTTAAAAAGCGAAAGCCTCCAATAACCAAGGAGTTCAAGTCTTTGTCTTGGAAAAAATTAATTCAAAATAAAAACATTCAACAAAAATGATTTTTCTTAAGTGGGTAAAGGATTTGAACAGGCATTTTTCCAGGGAAGATATACAAATGCCAAAAAAACAAGATGCGAAGCTTCACTGGTACAGAAATGCAAATCAAAGCTTCAATGAAATAGCATATTAAAATTTCAAAAGTAAGTATTGAGTATGTGGAGAAATTGGACTCTGCTTTTCTGATAGGATTGCAAAATGATGCAGCCAGCTGCCAGGAGAAATGACGGTAGTGCTTCAAAACTTGCACAAGTTTCACGACTCAGCAAATTCTACCTCTGGGTGTACAACTGAAAGATGTAGAAGAAGGGACTTGAGCAAACATTTGTTTATCCCTATGGGTCAGTAAATGAGCCTTTTAAGAAAGGAAGGAAAATGAAATGTGCAACAACATGGAGGAACCTTGAACATATGGTTAGTGCAGTAAGTATGAGCTGACACGAGGTCCCCACCACAGTCAAAATCCTAAGGCGGAATAGAGAATTATACTTCAACAAAAAGAAAATGATTAAAACAACTCACGACATGGAAAAAATATTGGCTTAAATAAGCAACCTGTCGGTATGATTCTATTTGTACAACGTGCCCATACAACCAAAACCAAGGATTCTACTTATAAATGCACAGTGTATACAAGTAGAATGCAAGCAGATGATAATGGGCCAGTTAACTGCATCAGGCATACAGAAAGAGACAAGTGTGTGGGATGGTGTCTTTTAGGGCACGGTAAACTTAGGTTCTATTATTTCAGCAGTGGATATATGGCTATGCAGTTAATCTGAGCTGAATATGTTTTCTACAAATCTAGTATTTGATATTATACAATTTCAAGAAAGCAAAATATAGCCACCATGCTTAAAAAGCAAGGCTTCTCCCTGTTATATTTCCCAGATGGCTGATGTTTTCTAGCAAGATGGGAAAATCTAAAAGCACCATCCTGATTACTTTCAGTCTTCTTGTTGAAGAGTCCCCTCCCCCACCCCCTCCAAGCAGCATCTATCCAGAGAAAGGAAATGCTTTCAAACACTATTCACGGAGATGTTTTAACACTAGTCCTGAAGGAGCTTATACTGTAACTTCCTGCAATAAGTCCTCACACAAAAAACTGAACTTATAATGAACGTGTCAAAAAGTTTTGTCATGTAGGTTTTCAAACTGTGTTAAAAAAAAGTTTGATGTAGATGGAACAGTTTGATATAGATGGGACAGCTCCTTCAACAATGACCCATCAGAACTTCCGAATCCCTGAAAATAAGTAACACAGATACACAGAAGGGTATAATATTTAATCGAAATATATTTGTCTAATATCTACAAAGAGTGAACAATTGGTCTTAAGAAAGCAGACAAAAGGCACAAAATTAGTGTAACTACAGAGAAGCATTCATGCGACTGAATTTTTTAAGTCTCACTGAAGTGGCACAGTAAAAAATAAGCATGGAGCTAAAGCCATTTTTTTCCTTTTTGTTTGGGTCATGTCTGACCTCATTTGTAATGGCTGAGGACTAAAGCCAAGGGATGTACACTCACACAGGATTTATGAGGGTTTTAATCACAGTGGCTTTCTTGCAGAGTTTGAATCAAACCAGAGAGGTACATTGAAGAAAAAAACTGAAATCCAATTTCCTTTTCCCAAACAAGACACAAGGATGAGGTGGTGGTTTGTGCATGTTTGTGTATGCATGCATGTATTTAACTTCTAAAGCCCTTTTTGTTTTTTCATAATAAAAGTAGTGAAGTCTCCATATGATTTGTTTTCTGCAGTAAAGGAAGCAGCTTCTAAAGATTGTATGACCATGCTGGGCACCAGTGGCTCACACCTGTAATCCTACCTATTCAGGAGGCTGAGATCTGAGGATCACGGTTCAAAGCCAGCCCAGGCAGGAACGTCCTTGAGATTCTTATCTCCAATAAACCACCAGAAAACCAGTAGTGGTGCTGTGGCTCGCCTTGAGCTAAAGAGCTGAGTGGACAGCGCCCAAGCCCAGAGTTCAAGCCGTACGACCAACAAAAAAATAAAAGAATGTATGACTCATGCTGCGTGAGCATGACTATCAAAGGATGGGAAGAAAACGCCCCAGTGGGCCTCACTGGTTTCTCCAGGGGTGCTCCAATTGGGAGGCTCCCACAGCTGTCTTAAACTGCCTCCTCTCCATCCCATCCACAACCAAGAGCCTCTTCTCTTTCCTGGGTGTGGACTAACATCAGAGGCAGTTGGGTGCTAAAGATCACAACAGTTAAAGAGATGACAGCCACCAGCCTTGACCAGGAATGAGCCGTTTTGTCTAGAGGGAAATAAATTGGGCCATGCTCACTGCTCGTTCAACCTTCATTGTGACAGGAATTGACTACGTGAGAACATCTTTGTAAGTGCAAAATGGGTTGTTGTGTTTTAGTGTTTTTTGTTTGGCAAAGTGGAAAATAGAAAAAATTTCAACCCTCATTGATAAAAAAAAAGGAGCTCATGGGTTACCCATTAAATCTTGGTGAGTGCAGTATCCATGTGTGTAACAACACAGATGTGTGTCCACTGTGTTGTGTGTGAACACTGTGGACACATCCCAAATGGCTCTCGTGTACAGTTAATCCTCTAGCAGAGTCTGCAGGTGTGTTTTTCACAGTATACAATTTTGCTGTTACCATTTCTCCCAACGCTAACGAGGTCACAGTGAATGCCAACAGAACCGCAGGACTGTACCACTTTAATTTCTACAAAAACAGGGTTGTGTAGGAAAGCCGTGCACTGCCACTTCATCAGTGTGCCTTCCAGAGAGGGTTGAAGTAAACCCAGCCATCACCCTGAAAAAAGACAAAGTATTAACTGGAGATCTTGCAGAAGGAACAGGAAAGATCTACCTCTACTAGGCAGAAACTACAATGTAAGCCCAGGACGTGCAATCGGCCGGCCTTGTTCCCACAGATATCCCACAGCCAAGCCACGCTGGTAGGCTCGATGGCCCTTCTCAGCCTGACTGCCTTCAGAGCCCAGAGATCTTCTATTCTTTCAGGAGAAAATAATAAAAGGAGACTTGGTGATTTACATCAGGAAGAACTGCTTGGCAAAACAGCCCCTGGAGACAGTGGGACAAGAGAGGAAGCGGTGGCTGAATGGATGGGTAGAAGAAAAGGCAAAGGTGTGTCTCCTATGTAGGAGCTACCGATGCCCTGCTAGCCCACAGCCTGAGAGGGGTGCGTTCAGCAAGATTCCAGCAGGGAGCAGTCACAAGCAGATCAATACATGAGAACTCATCATGGAGTGTCAGTTGATTAAAAGACTGGACTCAAAATGGCCTACAGACCTGGTGCTAGAGCAGTGCTCCAGTTCTAGGGGGTAACCAGCATTCTTCCTGCCCACCCGCAACACTTCTTATAGGTTTTTCTGAAACCCCAGAGGTAGAACTCAGTGGCCTTTTGTTCTTTAATAAACAACTCTCCATAGAGGCTGAGGAAAACAGCTGTGCTGGAGAGACAAGTGCCTGCCTCGTGGGAGGATTCTCGAAGACTGACCTCACCTGGGCAAGGCTCCCACACAATCCCCACACGGTGAGCTGAAAGGCAGGCTTTCGCTAAGCAGCTGTCCTGTCTGAACCAGGGGCCAGAGCTGAAAAGATCCACTATGATGCCTCAGTTCCTCACTCAGTAGGACAGTGGGCTTCTAGCCCACCCCAGGTCACTTTGCTGCTAGCTTTATGTCTAGATTAGCAGACCTGAGCTAACGACCCACAGAAACATTCTGATTGGTATGCATTCATCATGCGTATCAGATTGCTCAGGGGGAAAGAAAAATCCAGATTCCTGGCTCCGTATGAAGGATCTCTGGCCTGGCAGGAAATGCTCCCCTCTCTCCACCCCCAGGCTCTCCTGTCCCCGGCTTCCCACCAGGCTCTTTCAGAAGAGGCTCCTGTGTTTCTTAACTTCCCACTCTGCCCTTGAAATGCCTCCCAGTGACTTCCCAAACATAAAAGGGCCACAGAAACCAACCCCAATATGGCCACCCATGGGGCCCCAAAGGAGGCAAAACTCCACCAGGCAGGCCATCCTCAGATGCTTTCAGCTCCCCTGGCCTGGAGATGGGCTGTGGGGGTCTTGCCTTTATGCCATGCTCTGCTCTGATTTGTTCCTCTTTACCTGGCTGTAGAAGTCCTCAGGTCTGCAATCCCCTCCCTCCTTCCCTCCCTAAGAGGCTGGCAGGTTGCGTGTGGAGAGTTCATACATCATGAACATTGTTACAGAAAGGCTGTCCAAAAGCTTGAGCCAAAGCTGGTACTAGAGCCACACTGCCTCCACTCCAAACCAGGACCTCCCTGCCCTGTCTTTCCCCGTCCATCCAACGGCGAGGCTCGCCAGGGAAGCCCTAGCTCCCCCTGGGGCCAGGCTGGCGGGTGAGCCCAGCACACAGCGGGCAGCGGTACCTCCTGGGTGAAGTATCTGGGCTGCCAGGGCACCCGCAGGCTCTCCCGCTTCCGCTCCTCCACGCGCTGCTTCTCCTCCAGGCGCCGCTTCTGCTCGGTGGCAGCCTCAATGTCCCCTAATCGTAGGTTTCGGGTCACCTCCTGCCAGAGGTTCCTGGGGATACAGGAAGGAGGGGAAAGCATCAGCAGAGCCACCAGTGGGGCCACTGCTGCCAGAGCAGAGCGGGACATGAGCACAAGGCCCCACAGCAGCCTTCCTCAGAGCCCATGCTGGGGTGGAGGCTGCTGGTGACCAGGGCCACAGGGCATGTACCACCTGCTTGTAAGCATCTTCCCAATCCGCTCCTCTAACCCCACACCTAACTTCTCCATGCTCCATTGTTGTCTGCACTTTACAGAAACGAGTCCCAGGAGCAAGCTGAACTGACTTGCCCAAAGTCCAGCTGGTAGATTAGAACAATGCCAGCTTTCCCACCAGGGATCCCAGCACTGAAAGACAAAGATGGTTGGACTATGCGCCTGTGTGTGCACGTGCTCACAGGCCTGTGTGCACATCTTTGCTTGTCTATGTGTCTGTGTATGTGTCGGAATCGGTGTCTGTATCTGTATGTGTCTGAGTATCTGTGTGTGTCTATGTATCTGCATATGTGTGCCTGTGTATCTGTGTGTGTCTATGTGTTGCTGTGTCTGTATATATCTCTACATGTGTACTTGTGTATGTTCCTGTGTGTGTCTGTATGCGTGTGAGTGCATGCCTTTGTGTGTCTATCTGCATATGTGTGTGCACATGCACACATGGGTTTAGGACACAGAAGCTATCACCTCCACCCGCGCCCACACTTGGCAGAGGTGACCTCTCCCAAGCAGCGTCCTCCTCCAGCCGTCTTAGGTGCCGGCCATGGTTCTAGGAAACACTGACCACGGGGTAAGGACAGAGAAGCACCATGGTAAAGCAGGGCAGCCACACAGGTGTTTCCAACCACCGCAACAGCAGCTGTGATGTCACAGCCTCAGGACGGCCAGTGGTGCAGCTCCCTGCCCGCTCTCCAGGCTCTCTCATGAGACCAGGCCCATAACTCTTGTATAGGCTGGCATGGTACAGCAGGAAGCCGTGACTATGACCTCATGGAGCTGAAGAAGGACAGGGGGGCTGCTTGGGACAGTGAGCAATACCCTCCGAGGAAGGTCAACACCAAGGTCACACTCCAGCTCCCATTCCCCCAGCCTCACTGATAACAGATAACAGGGAGTGTGACCCTCTGGCCCACATATTACCGCAACAAGAGCTTTGCAAGAGGGGATGGGAAGCCAGATCCGACAGGGCTGGAGGCATGGCTCAAGTGATAGAGCACCTTGCCTAACAAATATGAGGTTTTGAGTTTAAACCACAGTATCATACACACCCCAAAAAAGAAAAAAAAAAAAAAAAGGTAGGTCAGCCAGGTCTGACTCCCACACAGCCTTTGCTGTTTCTACTGCGCTAGTGCCTAATTTAAGAGGAAAGCCTGAAGCAACAGATGAGTATAAAGAAAGTGTGATCTGTACACACAAGGGAAAAATCTTCAGCCATCAAGAAGAAACAAACAGAAAAAAAAAAAACAGAAACACCAACACTATGTGCTCATATATGTGGAAGCTAAAAAAAAGTGGACTTGGGGTGTGTGGCTCAGGTGGTAGAAGCGTGGCTCAAGCAGCAGCAGCAGGAGGAGGAAGGAGTATGGTGCAGGCTAGAGATCTGCCTGGCAAGGGCAAGGCCCCGTGTTCATGATAACTACAGAAGTGACCCACTGGAGAGCTACACTGTCCACACCCAAGACACAGACAGGAGAAACGGAGGCACTACCAGGGTCAGAACATGGGCCCTGATCCACTTGTATCAATTGTGCTTTTGGAAGTTTCCCCTATGCCCTTTGGTCAGCCACTAGGAAAGCTGAGCCGTGGAGCCACACGGACCAGTTCCCACCTGGACTCCATGGGTCCCTGTTTCTGGAGGGGCCTTATCTTCTTTGGGTACACAGGAAGGGCTGTTGTGTCGATGACTTTGGTCTCCCCATTGCTGTAGGTGAACTCCAAGGTGCCATTCCATTCCCCGTGGGCCTTACAGACAATGGTGTTGGTGGGGCAGTGCTTCACCTCTGCCGTGACCCTGAAGAAATACAAGCCAAGGGGAAAGATTCAAAACAGGGCCCTCAGGGTTAGAGGGGTTTCTGGGGGCTTGGGAAAGAGGGATCCAAACACTAGGTCTTAAAATAGGAGCTCGTATCACTGACCCAGGAAAAAGATGGGAAAAGTGGTTCAATCTGAATAGTGTACAGATTAGTTGAAACACAGCAATGCAGCAGCGCTTATCTTAGCTTTCAGAGACAAACACGGAATGAATACACATCACTGGGTGGAAAATCAATCAAGCAGCTCAGTATATAACTTCAAAACTACTATATTTAGCCACCAAAAGAGTATAAGGTAAGTTGGGTGCTGGAGGCTCATACCTGTAATCCTAGCTACTCAGGAGGTTGAGATCTGAGGATCATAGCTCAAAGCCAGCAGGAAAGTCTGTGACACTCTCATTTCTAATTCATCACCCAAAAGCTGGAAGTGGAGTTGTGGTTCAAATGGTAGAGCCCCAGCCTTAAGCAAAAATAGCTAAGTAAGAGCTCCAGGTCCTGAGGTCAAGCCCCAGTATCAGCACAAAGGGAAAGGGGTGGACAAATAAAGAGGAGGAGGAGAAAGTACACTCAAGATTCCAATGTATATCCTACAAAATTAAGAAGGATGAGGGAAGGGATGGGTGGGAGAGGACGGGTGAGAATGTTCAAAGGGTCACATTAATCAAGACATTGTATTCATAGATGGCTTTGTGAAATGGCAACTCCTTTGTACAACTACTTAAATAATAAAAAAAGAAAACAAACGTATGTAAAAAATTAAAATAAAGAGCCTTTGCCTGAGCATTCCCCGGTCTCCGCTTCTGGTATGAGCAACAGCCCATCTGGGCAGAAAGCTGCTCCCAACAGCCCAGGGTGCAATTGGGCACAGGAGCTTCCAGGGGCAGGGGTGAGGCCGCACGGTGGGCGGTGTGCAGATAACAACAAACAGCAGGCTCTCACAAGGAAACCCACATTTGCACACCTCTGCCAATTTCCATGGCATGTCATCCACCAACATGGTGGCCCTGGACATGACCAGCTCATGGGAGCCGGTCTGCGCCATCTGCAGCCTGGCCCCAAAGCAGCCATGTGTGCCTCATGCCAACGCCCACGTGGAAAAGGGCAGAACTGGAAGGGGGCCATAAGAACGCACTCAGGCTCCTCCCACCGAAACTTCTCCTCCTGCAGAAGACCTGTTTCCCCAGCTCCTAAGCAGAGAAGCAGCTTGTCAGCGGCACGGAGGTGTGACCCAGCGCTCAGGGACTCTGGAGATGCCAAGTCTTCAGCTCAAAGCACAGCAGGGTAAGAAGAGGCTGTGACTGAAGAAGGTCAGGGGGGGAGAGATGGGGGTGGGGAATGTAACAAGACAAAGTGCTTTTTATTACCTGGGGTGTATTTTCAAATGCATGGCCAGAGATTCCCCCCAGAATCCTGCCCTATGACTTGGGAAAGAGGTGTCTAGAATTTCTGAACAAGACCTGCCACTTTGTCTTATTTTACAACTTACTCCTCTGCCAGAACTCAATCTTTTGTTTTTGTCTCTCATGGGACTTGAACTCAGGCCCTGGGCACGGTTCCTGAGCTTTTCTGCTCAAGGCTAGCACTCTACCCCTTGGAGCCACAGCTCTACTTCTGGTTTTCTGGTGATGAATTAGAAATAAGAGCCTCATGGACTTTCCTACCCTGGCTTTGAACCACAATCCTCAGCTCTCGGGCTCTCAAGTAGATAGGAATACAAGTGTGAGGCACCAGCACCTGGCTGGAATTCAAGGGGAATGTGAAGGCATCATAATTGGACAAAACCAAAGCCTCCTCCCCCCAGCCTACCTGCCTCTTACCTGTGGACCTTCCCCCCGTAGAAGGGCTTTGTGTGGAAAGTCACCGTGGCAGAGTAGCCCGTCTTGGCACAGCTGATGCTGACCTTCCCTCCCAGCTCCACCCATGGGATGGTGAGGATGGATCGGGCGTAGGCACTGGGCAGGGTGAAAACATACTCTTCTCCATATTCCAGAAGACTCAGCACACCTCCAGGGAAGAGAGGGAGAGTCAGGCTGATGGATGAGAGGACATGTAAGACCCAAGAAGCTCCTGGGACAAATGCATGCTGCCACACCCACCAGGTGCCAGGCACTGGCCAGGGAGCTGAGGGCACATGGTGAACAGACATCAATGAATCATCAGACAAACATGGATTCCTGACTTGCAGATGCCATAGCAGCATCAACTCCGCCCCCCCCCGCCCCGGTCAGAAATATAATACATGTAACATGAACATACAATTCCACTGAGGCAGGCAGACAGGCATCAAAGGGTCCCTGGTCACCAGGGCCACTGATCCAGAACACATCCAGCAACAGACTTAACAGACCTTCCCCTGGCTTTCAGATACCCCAAACCGCCAAATGGCAGTTAGAGAGACCACCAAATGCTGCAGATAAAAGATGCTAGTAAGCTGAGTGCTGGTGGCTCAAGCCTGTAATCCTACCGACTCAGATGATGACATCTGTGGATCCCAGTTTCTCTTATCTCTAATCACCAAAAAGCCAGAAGTAGAGCTTTAGACAAAAAAGGTTAGGGATAGCGACCAGTGACCAGGTCCTAAGTTAAAGTCTCACTGCCAGCATGTGTGTGCACAGACACACACACACACACACACACACACACACACGCATGCATGCATGCACGCACATACATAGAGTAAACTGGTGCCAAGTATCATTGAGGAAGTTAATCTGGCAGAGCTCTCACTCAATACACTTGCTCTGGGGACAAGGACTATAAAGCTTACAATGATCTGTGAGCCCCACAATGTGAAGAGCTTCACCTGAGATGATTCAATCTCTACGAGGAATCTATACACAGCCATCCACACAAACCTGAGTATGCCCAGGTGCACCTCTCTTCTGTCAACCAAGCCATCTATCAGAGTTCTCACCAAACGAAGGTCCACCCAATCTCCACCCAACAACCCACCAAGACCCACCAGCCTGTCTAGATTTCTCCCAATAAAAGCAGGTGGCAGTGCTGCCCTCAGAGCTGTGGCATTCCAGCCAATTCCAGCGTCTCCTGCTGAGAACACTTTTCTATTCCATCTTTCACTACTACCTTCTCCATCCTTCTCCTTTGAGATACAGGAGGACCTAGAACCAAGATCCTGAGGGGAGACCCTAGTCCTGAGACTCCCCTGGGAACATGAATACTCTTGAATGTACACTAAAGATGGAAATTGCTTTTCTCTACCATACTTCTTTCCCAATAAACTGCTACTTTTACTCCCCCCCCCTTTTTTTTTGGCCATGGGGTTTGAACTCAGGGCCTGGGCGCTGTCCTTGAGCTTTTACTCTCAAGACTACTGCTGTACCACTGAGCCACAGCACTACTTCCAGTTTTCAGGCGGTTATTTGGAGATAAGACTCTCACATACTTTCCTTCCCAGGCTGGCTTCGAACCACAACCCTCAGATCTCAGCCCCGTGAGTAACTGAAATTACAAGGCATGAGCCACTGGCTCCCAGCTTCACTCCATCTCGTCTCACCTACAATCTTCTCTCACCAGATGCAAACGACTCAGATAAATAGCTCTACTCACTTGCCAGTGACACTACTACACCAAATACAGGGGTACCTTTGGCTTCCTATGATCCCCTGCGCCAGCTTGCAGTGGGCTCCCCTGATTGAATCCTGGGAAGCCGAGGTATCTCAAGCTCTCATTCCAACTTTGATCCTACTCCTCTACCCCCCACAGAAGCTGGGTGCCATGCAAGACTCAGTGCTGCACAGTGTGTTTGCATGCCCATAGCATTGGTACAGGATCCTTGCAGAAAGAGCTACGAGGCTGATAAGCGCTTTTATATTCAATGCTCACTTCAGGTCTGGCTTTCTCAAATTGAGTTGTTTTGAGAGGGCAGCTCAATGCAGGCAAAAAAATAGCAGACATGAGATCAATATTCAAGAACTGGAAGGAAAACCTAAAGAGAAACATCATGAGCTGTGCTGGGAAGCAGACGCCGCCAGGGCTATGTAGTGAGATGGAGGGAAGCAAGAAGGTTAACTCGTCACAAATGAAAACTTTGGAAGGCCGGATCACACAGCTGAGGTAGCCTTTCTTTTCTTTTGTGTTGGTACTAGGGCTGGAATTCAGGGCTTCATACTCTTGCTCGGCTTTCTTGCTCATGTCGGGCACTCTACTACTTGAGCCATGCCTCTAATGTGGCTTTTTGCTAATTATTTTGGCTGGCTTCCAACTGTGATCCTTGGATCTCAGCCTCCAGAGTAGCTAGGATTACAGGTGAAAGTCACCACCACCCAGCTGAGATTTTCTTTTCTTCTTTCCCCTTCCCATCCTTTTCCCCTCTTCCCTTTCCCTTTTCTTTTTCCCTTTCTCTTTTTAAGACAAAGTCTATATTATGTTGCCTTGAACTCATAATCTTCCTGTTTTAGCCTCTCAGATGCTGGGATTTCAGGTGGCACCACCATGCCTGGCCTAAGAATGTCTTGGGTTTTTTTCTTTTTCTTTTTTTCTTTCTTTTTTTGTCGGTCAGAGGGTTTGAACTCAGGGCCTGGATGCTGTCCCTCAGCTCTTCAGCTCAAGGCAAGTGCCAGTTTTCTGGTGGTTATCCACCAAAAAGCCTGAAGTAGAGCTGTGGCTCAAGTGGTAGAGCCCAGCTTTGAGTGAAAAAGCTAAGGGACAGCATCTGATTCTGAGTCAAAATACTTTTATGTATTTGTATAAAAATGGAAAAAATTAAGCTTGTTGAGTGAGACTGGTCTGGAAGGCAGAGAATCACAGAGAAGGTGCCGATCAAAGTACAGATCTACACAGACATGTTAACTCGAGGCCCCCTTGGTACTAAGTGACGCTTATTTGAAAAATGTTACTTTAAATCCAACTTCTGGACTCTACAGAGAATCTAAAGGTAGAACAGTACCTCCCTCTGCACCCCTAAAGAGCTCTACAGGAACCAGAGCCTAGTTTTGAAGTCTGGGGAGTCTCCTTGAGTCTTGCTTGCATCCCAAGAGGCTCCAGAGGTCACCTGATCAACAGAAAAGAGATGCAACTACTGACAGGCTGTGGCCCAAGGGCTCTACCCTGCCCAGGTCCATGAACACCAGAAACCCTGTGTGAGGCCTTCCTCAGTCTCTCCAGAATCTTCTTTCGGATTTCTTCACAGCTAAGATGTTCTGCAGCTAGTTACTTCTACTTCAGGACCAGCCACACCTGGGGGCTTGAAGACAGGGTACGTGTCGTGAGGCTCCTCACCCTTGAGCAGGATTACGAGTGGACTGAAGGCCCGGCCCCTGGACTGTAGGTCTGGTGGTGTTATGCCAAGGTCGCAGGACCCCCACCAAGAAGACCACCGAGAGTCAGACTCTACAGCTGTTTTATTTAAACGGGCTGCAGCTCGGGCCTCGTCCTACACTCCGACACAGCGGAGCCTAGGAGGAGAGCCCCGAGTTAAGGATTTGCAGGTCTTATAAAGGCACACAATCAACCAGGTGTTTGGATTGCCACCACGTGTTGCTTTGCTAGACAGAAACAAGCAACAAGTGGTCACTGCCTCAAACTTTAACCTTTCAGTGGGAGCCCAGGCTCTGGGTTTTTTGTTTTTGTCAATGGTGGGGCTTAAACTCAAGGTCTGGGCATTGGCCCTGAGTTCTTTCATTCAAGGTTAGCACTCTACCACTTTGAGCCACAGCATCACTTCTGGTTTTCTGGTGGTTAACTGTAGATAGACCCTCACAGACTTTCCTTCCCAGGCTGGCTTTGAACCACAATCCTCAGATCTCAGCCTTCTTAGTAGCTAGGATAACAGGTGTGAGCCACCAGTGCCTGGCTCAGGCTCTGGGTCTTGACAAGCCTCTCGGGTGGCTTCAGGGGACAATGGAAGAGCAGGAAACTCAGCACCTCCACAAGTGCAGGTCCAGAAGCACCAGGTGCCCTGCTGGTGAGAAACAGGGACTTAAGCGGAAGCACTGGGGACACAGCTATATACTTCCTCCTTTGCTGGGAGAGAGACTACACACCCCCTTCTCCACTGTGGGGAAGGGGAGCTGCTTCGCCACTTAATTACCAAAAAGCCACAAATGATGTGGCTCAAGTGGTACGGTGCTAGACTCAGAGACAGCACTTTGGCCCTGAGTTCAAGCCCCAGGAAGGAAGCAAGGGAGGGAGGGAGGGAGGGAGGGAAGGAAATGGATTTACAAATCTGCCTTTATGGAAAGCTCCCAGATGTCCATCTAACAGCATGAGACCCTGTTTCAGAGCCTGGAAGATAGCTACTACTTCATGTTCCATTTCAAAATCTCATTTTCTTTTCCATGCTCGATTAGTAGCAACAAGCATTTCTGCTGAGTAGGGAACTTCCAGAAAGATCTGTGGAGACATTTTCTATATTCCAGAAAATGCATGTGATCAAGAAATACTTCTACCAAGCATTCCTGATGTATCAAGTTTAAACTGTGTTCAACTGTTGTGTGTGTGTGTGTGTGTGTGTGTGTGTGTGTGTGTGTGTGTACTGGGGCTTGAACTCAGGGCATCGCCTGCTTGGCTTTTTCATTCCACTGGTGCTTTACCACTTGAACCATACTTCCACAACTGGCTGTTTGCTGGTTAAACTGGATACAGATAAGAGTCTCCCAGATTTGCCCAGGCTGGCTTCTAACCATGATCCTCAGATCGAGTAGCTAGGATTACAGGTGTGAGCACTGGTGCCTAGCTACTTGTCTCTACGACTGCTGTGCACTCCCCACTCCCACCTTCTGTCTGTTCCTCGCACAGCAGCCCTTGGTGCTCCTCAATCATGTCTACCTTCCAGGGGCTCTAATCTCACTTTGAGTAAAACAAATCCACATCTTTCCAGGACTACAGCCTAGATTTCATAATCTGCAACCTCCCCTCCTCTGCCCGTCCCTTTGCCACTGCCACAGCAGCCCCCTAGGGATTGTGTAGCACCACAGCCCCACAGTCCAGCTTCATGGCCCTTGTACCTGCTGTTCTCTTTTGCCTGGAGCACCCCCTTCTTGAACGGCCTTCCAGCTCTGCCCCCTTAGCTTACTAATCACCACCACTTAGCTTACTATTCACCAACTTAAAATCAAATCCTAGCCAGACACTGGTGGCTCATAGCTGCAATCCTAGCTGCTCAGCAGACTGAGATCTGGGGACCATAGTTCAAAGCCAGTCAGGGCAGGAAAGTCCATGAGACTCTTGTCTCCAATTAACACCCAGAAAAACAGAAGTAGAGCTGCAGCCCAAAGTAATGGAGTGCTAACCTTGTGCAAAGAGCTCAGAGACAGTGCCCAGGCCCTGAGTTCAAGCCCCATGATCAAAAAAAAAAAAAAAAATCAAATCCTAGCTAATCTGAAGGCTAATATTTGAGGTTTGTGATTGAAGCCAGTCGGAGCAGAAAAATCCTTAAGACTTTTATCTCCAATTTACCAATAAAAGGCTGGAAATGCAGGTGTAGTAGAGTGCCGGCTTTGTGCTAGGCACAACGTCCCAGGCCCTAAGTTCAGGCTCCAGAACTAGCATCAACCCCCCCCCCACACACACACAAATCCAATCAAAACCATTCTACCATCCTGCACAACAGGCCTTTGCTGCCTGTGTGTTAGTGCTGGAGGTCATCTATGCTGTGTCGTCCCCTGAACTCACTGGGCAAGCAGGGATTATGTGCGGCAAGGCCTTACCCACATCAAGGAGATACAACTACTTCTCAGATGAGTGGATGCAGAACCAAGAAATCTGTTACAGGGAAGGAGGTGACCCTGCTGGAAGCAGGTGGGATTCAAGGTGGAAAGTGTCCTTGCCAACTTCTCTAGAAACAACCATCTTCCCTCTTCCAAGAAGGTAGTATGTGGGGAATCTGGAACAAGTAATGAAATGTAGTTTTTGAACTCAGGTCCTAGGTGCTGTCCCTGAGCTTTTTTTGCTTAAGAGCAGTGCTCTACTAAAGTCACAGCTCCATTTCTGTTTTGCTTTTTTTTTGGGGGGGGGGAAAGGGATAGGTAATTAGAGATAAGTGTCTCGGGGACATTTTTTGCTAGCTTTGAACTACGATCCTCAGATCTCAGTCTCCTGAGTAACTAGGAATACAGGCATCAGCCACCAGTGCCCAGCCAAGTAATAAAATCAAACAGAATGCTAACAGTCTCCTGAATAGCAATCAGAGAGAGCTCACCAGGGCAAGCCTCACAGTATGAGGCAGGCCTTCAGCCACCAATGAAAACACCAAGTTCCAGATAAGTCAAATCAAGATTAATGATGCTCCCACTTTCTGTTACAAACGTAATCCTTCCCACAGAGGTCCTGAGTTATCTTAAGCTCTCAGCTCGTGCTCAAAGCCTGGGTTAGGATGCATTAGTGGAGACCTGCCTGCTGCGTGACTTTGCCCCCAACAGTGCCATCCTTTGCCCCTTGCCTGGGCAGAAGGCTGAGTTCAGGAATGGAAAACAGGACTGGAGTCAGAGCACAGGCCCACAAGAGAATGCCCATCTCATACCTCCATGAGAATGGGCCTTGGAAGTCCTGATTGTAAACTAAAGTCCCCCCCCCCTTTCTTGCTATCACTCTCCTGAGCCTGTGGCCTTGGGTCCAGCTCCCTAAACCTTCTCAAGTTCTGATCTCTCTTGCATAAGTCAAAGCGTAAAGTTCCAAATATACTTTGGGGAACTGTTTCTGCTTTTCCATGGCTGAGTGTCCCACCTGCTTCTTTGGGTCTCTTCATGCTGGAGGGCTGCAGGGACTAGGAACTCACACAGCAAGCTCTTTAGTGGTGAGACTTAATTAAAGGCCCCATTTCTACCCCAGCTGAAGCCTTTTTCTGAAAACATGGCCTGCAGGTATAGCTGCCTACCATGCCCTTCACCTACCTGTCTAACCCAAAGCACAGCCAGCGGCACATCCTCAACTCTCCCTCCACACCAGCTCACCAGTCCCAACCCCCATTTTCCCAACCTCAGATATGAGCTACGCCATCCTTCCATGTCAGAAACCTCAGCCATCCTCACTCTCACACACATGGGATCCACAGTCCAACCGTTTTGGCTCTCTAGCTTGGAACACATCTGTGTATTCTGGATTTGATCTTAAATATCCCCCCAAAGGCTCACTGTTTAAAGGCTTAATCTCCATCCTGTGTGTGGCATTGCTGGAAGTGGTGAAAACTAGAGGAAGCAAATCCGGCTATTGGGAGGGTGGCCTGGAAGAGGATATTGGGAATCCTGCCTCCTTCTCTTCTCTCTGCTTCTTGGCTGCCACAAGGCAAGCAACGTTGTACCAGCACCCACACTCCCTGTGAGGCCATTCTGCGTTCACACTCGCCTAAAACCAAGGAAGCCAATCAAGTGTGGCTTTGCCGCTCGCTTGGTGTAGGTAGGAGTCACATCCCCAGCCATGGGCCGCAAGGCCCTACATGACACAGGTCATCTTCTAACAGGAACTTTGGAAGCTGTTTTTGAGAAAACAACAAAAAAGCCACTGACTCCTCAACTTGGGCTTGCAAGTCTCTTCAGGGTAACTGCAAGTTTGACATCCTGGCCTCCATTTTGTATCTGTGTCTTTTGGCTGGGAGCCATTCTCTCGTGCAGTTACTTTGCAGCCATCTTGGAATCCAGGAAGGACAAGATGGGTGGAGAAACATACTAAGACCAGAAGTGATGCCATTCTGTCCTCAGCACCCACCTACCCTCCCACTCCACATAGCAATGATTCTTAAGTAAGAGGATCCTGCCTGCCTGACCAGTCCTAAGACGATGACCACCTGGGGCCCTGGAACACACCTGTGAGCATGATGATTAAATAATTATCCATGCCTCTCCTCCCTTGCCCTCAGCCCTTCCTCTAATTTAAACCTAGAGCAAATGTCTACATGGGAGGGGGAACTGAAAAGCCATCTTGCCTCTTCCCTCAGTATTACTTAAATCTCCTTCCTCTGCCCTATGTTCCTGGGACAAGCAGTTGCGTTTGACCTATGAAACCCAGGCATTACTTGTAACTAGTCCTGGTTCTGTCTGGCCACTCCTCTGCCTGATCATTCTCCTAGAGGCAGGGACCAGCCTGCCTCTAGGCCTTTGCTGTGTTCTTTCTGTCTTTTACTCTCTTTCTTTTCCCTCATGGCCTTTGCGGCCAGGTCCCTCATTGCCTCCTTTGGTCTCCAATCAAGTGCCACCCTCTCATTTAACAGCTCACCCACTCCTCTCGCAGGACATCCCAGACTCCTAACCATGTTTTCTCTACAGAATTTAGCATATTCTAAGCATAGCACATTACTTAGTTCCCCAGGAGATAGGGGTACAGGGGTTTGGTGGGGGCTTTTGTCTTTTGCTTACCCAAGTATCCATAATTCCTTACACAACATTAAGCACCTAGTAGGCACTCACTAAAGGTGTGAAAGAGTCCTTTAGCGTCAATATATTTCCAGTAGCAAAATGCTGAATTTTATGTTAAGATCATTTTTTTCCAGGAAGAACATCACAGTCTTAAGAGACTCAAGGGATCTGTGACGCAAAAATGTCAAAATGCCACCAAACGCAGACACCTCAATTTAACAAGGATTATCATCGACTTCTTCAGACAACTCATAAACTTCATTCACAGCTATTCGCTAAAATAAGGACGAACAACCCACCAGTGGTGTGATTATGCTCTGTTCTTGCTTCAGAATTTCTAAAAGAGTCAAAAGATTTGCCTTGGGAATTTTTATGAGTAGCTTTTGAATAGACAGCAGCACTATTATGCTCAGTGAGAGCCAGAACATTGGTGAGGATGAATAAAAATGCATTTTCACACATCTGGAGCCAACTCTCATATTCATGCAAGACTGGAAGGCAAATGTTCACATAAGGCAGAACATGCACATGTGCAGAGGGGATGACCCTGGTAGGCAAGGCAGCTGGTTGGGCAAAGGCTGTGTCTCATCGCCTGCAACCCACTGGGAAGTTAGCAAACCTGGTCCAAAATCCTTTCTTCCTTCCCACCCACTCCCCAAGTCGAAAACAAAATGTCAAAAATCTTCTTAGCAATTGTCTATCGGGTACACAATACTGTGTAAAAGTCAAACACTGAATGCAATCTGGCTTACCTTCCCCGATCATAGAGACCCCCACGGACATGCCCATGAACTTGCTTTTGGTCCATACGTGAGTGTTGATGCATAGTCTCTTCTCCTTGCACTCACAGTAGAAGCAGGAGATGGGTGGGTGATGGGAAACTTGTTCAGCTACAAACCTGAGTTTGTAGCTTTTGGAAGGGTCATCGGCTACCGGGTGTTCTTGGCAGTCTGTGGGAGTGGGGGCAGCAGTCCTCTTGGATTTGACCTTGTCCTTGGGAACTTCCCAGGAGCAATGAAACGTCTCACCAATGATGGGGTTGTAGGGCTTCTTGGCCAAGGCCCCCTTGCGGCCCTCATGGAAGGCTGTGAGATAATACTCGACGAAGCCAATGGCCCTCTCTTCTGGTGTGGCGCCAGCAGCCACAGCCAGCAGCAGGTCAGGGTGTGCCATAAAGTCAGCATACATCTCCAGCAGAGACCGCTTCTCCAGAATGAATGTGGGGAGCACCACCTGGACACAGAGGACACAAAGGCAGACAAGGGTCCCCATGAATACTGGAAGAAAAGGCTGCAGCCCCTACCAAACCAGTCACAATGCATGTGGACAAGAACATTGCTTTTGGGGCCTGGGAAGGTGGCTCAGTGGTAGAGCGCTTGCCTTGAATGCCTGAGGCCCTGGGCTCGATTCCTCAGCACCACATAAGCAAAAAGAAAAAAGCCGGAAGTGGCGCTGTGGCTCAAGTGGTAGAGCGCTAGCCTTGAGCTGAAGAGCTGAGGGACAGCACCCAGGCCCAGAGTTCAGGCCCCATGACCAGACCAAAAAAATTAAAAAAGAACATTGCTTTTGATGCCACATTGGGGCAAATCAAGGCAAAAATGATTTCAGAGGAATTAGAAGTGGCAGTGGTACCCATGTGAAGCCAGCTCTGTGGAGAAACCTGGGGTCAAACAAGAGGCCCATCTCTCCACATGGCCAATCCTAACACACACCCCTCCTTCCTCCCTCACCATTCCTGAGAAACACAGAGAGAGACTGGGAAGGTTTCGGCATTCCTCTGCCAGTGGGGGGGTGTTCTCCATGTTCCCCAAACCATGAAAGTATAATTAGGGTTGCAGCAAAAAAGACCAGACAGACCACGACCCACTGCCACCAAGGAGGACAGAAGAGTGGTGTATGTACCCCCAACAGCAAGAGTGGTGCAAAAAGTAGGCCCAGTGTCAGGCAGATGCCACCACACTGCCATGGGAAAAGAGCAATATCACAATCCCGTTTTCAGGGCCAGAGCAAACCAAGGGACATCAGAAAGAAGGAACAGGTGCTTAACAAGACAGGTACTGGTGGCTCACACCCATAATCCTAGCTACTCAAGGGGCTGAGATTTGAGCATCACAGTTGGAAGCTAGCCCAGGTAAGACAAATACTTGAGACCCTCCAGTTAACCAGCAAAAAGCTGGAAGTGGAGCGCAAATGGCAGGGTGCAAGACTTGAGAGAAAAAGCCAAGCAAGTTCAAGTCCCAGTACTGAAACAAAAATACTGTTGAATAGATTACTTAAATAGATAAAAGAAGCTTAGCATACAATATCCTCCAGATCTCACAGGTGTTAGCCTACCTCCAAGTTTAAAGGAAATCCAGGTGGTCACCCCACGGCTAATGTCATTTAAAGCAAATAAAGGCCATTCAGAACCTGGGAACCTCACTGTTACTGTAAAAGAAAGGACAGCGAGCCCCCTGTTCCCACTCTGGAGCCAAACCCCAGAAGTGAACACTACTACGCCACCCAGTCAGCTGAAAAACCCAGCTCCCTTTTAATCTGGGCCATCTAACACTGCTCCACCCAGTGTGGTCCTAGAGGATTTTGAAGCTGGCAGGCCACTTGAACCTGCTGGCTCCACCTCAGCAACCTCTAAATTGATCAATGTCAAACCCTGATTATGCTGTCCTTCCTTCCTGTAATTCCTGCATCAAGGAGAACGTACCTAAGAGCTGACTGTGACAGCACACAGGGTGACAGACCCACAACCCCAGCTCATGTCACTTCTCAAAACATTTCCTTGCATGTTACACAGACACACCAGAAAAGTGAAGTTTCGGAGTCTGGTAGCCAGCTTTTAATACTGTCTATCTTTTATTTAAATAGTCTTTAGTATTTATGTGAAGCCAAAAAAAAAGCAAAACTTAAAAATGAACTTATAACACAATCCAAGTAAATCCATTAAAAGCTTTAAAATGTCAGCCTGTCTCTAGATGACAAAAATAGTGATTTACACTTTGTTTTCCTAACTATCTTTCTGCTTTGCCTTAAGAGTAAGACAGAAAATAGCAGCATCCAATGAAATACAACTGTGCAAATCAATTTCTTAATTTTCTTTCAGGCACAACTTGATGAAACTGATTCTAGCTGCCCAAAGATCCCCTCAGAGCAGGCAGAGAATGTGCATCATACGCGGGCAGAATCTGGCTGGCGCCTGTCATTTCCTGTGTGTGTCCCCAGGGACAGGTCACTGTCCAACGGCCGTCACTGACCCTTCTGAGGACTGCTCTTCCAAACAGCTCCCTGGGACCCAAGGCCCAGTTCCTCTCCCACTGCATGACCAAATAAATAACGAGCAAGCCATATGTCCCCAAACTGTCCCTCACCTGGAGTCCCTCAAGGGTCCCTGGCTGACATCTCCCTGTAAATGGGCAGTACAGGTGATAGGCTTCAGTAACTAGACAGACCCTCAAGGAGGCCAATCAATGAGAATAAAAAAGCAGCCACAGTCTCCTTCCTACCACCCCAAGCAAACGCCATTTCCTCCTTCTTTCTCCCAGGTCTAAGAGGCAGCCGTGGGAGGAACAGGCGGAGTCAGCCAGAGGGCAGCCATCCTTGATGGAACTAACACCTTCAGGTGAGAAGTCTTCCCATCAGCCATGCTCCCCCCTGCTCCATTCACCCCTGGGCAAGTGCTCTCAAGTCTGCACTGCAACTACAATGACAGGACCAGCTGCAACGTGTACTCTTTACTTACCTACTTTTAGAAAGGATAACATTTCCCCATAACCCAATCAGCCTGACTAAAATTTAGGCTGAAGAACTAAAAATAAATCAGAAAAAATGTCCTTTCCGATGCTAATCATTAAACAAGCAGCACCAAGAGGGGCCAGAGACTGGGGAGTAGGAGAGAAAAGAAAGTGGATGGAGGCCACCCAGGGGCCCAACGTCTGTATAATCCACCCCCCCCCAGTCCTCCAGAACTGTCTACTCTGCTGCCCAATAAGAATATATTCCTTACCCAGTGGGTTTACTAGACTTAAGAGCCAGGATGGCTTGCCATCATTTGATGTTCCTGATTAGGAAGCTAGAAAAGGCTGGGCACAAGTGGCTCATGTCTGTAATCCTAGCTACTTGGGAGACTGAAATTGGGAGGACCATGGTTAGAGACCAACCCAGGCAGAAAAGTTCTCAAGGCCTCTTCTCTGTCATGAGCTGGGTGGTCACGTGGTACCTGCCTGTTATTCTAGCTACAGCAGACTACAAGAGGCTGGTTATACCTGGGTACATGTCCAAGCAAGAAGACCCCATGTCTCAAAAGTAAGCAAAAAAAAAAAGAACCAGAGGCATGATTCAATGGTAAAAGTGCCTGTCAAGCAAGCAAAAGGTTCTTAGCTGAAAATTCCACTACTGCCCCCCTCACCAAAACAGAAAAGAAGCAAGGGAAGGAGGTAGCACTGGCTACAGTGGTGACCGGAGTTTCATCTTCTAGGCCCTTCTGCTGCCCACCCCTGCGTGGCAAAAAAGCCTGTCATTCACAAATGGGAGAAGCACCAGAGACCACCACGGTTGAAGAAAAACGGCCACAGCAGAGTCCTCTTTCTGTAGCTTCCTAAGTAGCCCTCCTGCCTCCCCTGTTCCCCTCCCAAGCCCTCTCCACACCCAGCCAGAACTAAAATTTCCCTAAGAGATCAAGTCCCACATGGCCCCATCTCTCACTTTCTCTGCTGGCTGTCCCCGCCTAAATAGCCACATTGCATTCCTAGCTCATCTGAATCACAAAGGGTCACTGAGTAGCTGGGCATTGGTGGCTCCTATAATCCTAGCTACTCAGGAGGCTGAGATCTGAGGATTGTTGGTACAAAGCCAGCCCAGGGAAAGAAAATCTTAAGACTCTTACCTCTAATTGGCCAGAAAAAAAAAAAACGCAGAAGAGGACCAGTGGCTATACAGCACCAACTTCGAGTGAAAAAGCTACGGGACCGTTCCTAAGCACCGCACCCTGAGTTCAAGCCCCAGAAAAGGCACTCATTTTCAAAGAACCAATCCTGAAACTGCAGGCTCAGAGATCAATGTTCACAACCACCACTGAGCCCAGCAGAATGCAGGATAGGTGTGGTGGCAAGACCATTCTCCCATCTCTCCATTTGTGCAGAAGCCAGACAGCCTGCAAAACCAGCGCCTGAACATTGCGAACAAGAGGTTGCCCTCTTCGTGAAAACAGATTTCTGCTCTTATTTCTTCTCCCATCTGACCTCCTGGGACCCTCCTTCTCTTGCCTGGTGCATTGCAAATAAGGCACTTAATCATTTGGTTTTTGGGCAGTGGACACTCTGGAGACAGAGCCAAGAAGTGCCGAGCGCTAATTGGGCCGTCTGCCTCTGACAGAGGTGAGTGATGGCCCAGCTGTTCAGACTGATGGCGTCCAAATGGCCTGGAATCTCGGCCGTAGATTTATCGAGCCATCAATAAGGACTGCTTTTCTCCCATTAATGTAATTAAGACAATGAACTACTTTGATGGAAGTTTTTTTTTTTTTAATAAATAAAGAAGACTTGCATTAGGGACTCAGTAGACCACTAATTACATTTAAAGTTGTATCAATTCAGGAGTGAATAACCAATCTTTAGTTTGGACTCAGATATCTGAAATGAGCCATCACCCATCCGGGAAGGCAAAAGACAGCCCAGAGTCCCTACCCCTCATCAGGGAGCATGCCAGGCTGAATGAAGAACAGCAGCACCAGGGGCGACTGCCCAACAACCAGCTAACCACCTCACAGGCCATCTCCTTCTGAGCGGTAGAGATGGGCAACACCCAGCACACTTGCTTTAGGAAGCCAAGAAAGTCCACAAAACCCCAGCCTCACACAGCAAATGGTAAGTAACTCTGCCTACCAGTCTTTACTTCATTGGGCTCTTACCTGGCTAATAAGCCTCCCTTTCCTTCTGTTCTTCTCCAAAGCACTAACCCTCTTCATACCTAACTCTCTGTTCACAGAGTATCATGAAAGGGTTCACTGATTTGTTTTTTCTTCTGTATGTGCTGGAGTTTAAACTCAGGGACTGGGTATTGGTCCCTTCAAGGCTAGTGTTCTACCACTTGAGCCACAGCACCATTTCCAGCTTTTTGCCTTGCTTCAGACTACAGCCTCCTGACTAGCTAGTGTTACCATTGTGGGTCAACCGCACCCCAGCCTTCATAAATATTATCTTGTACAATCTCCTCAGAAACCTGTGAGCAGGTATGACTGTTGTGTCCACAGAGGAGGAAATAAAGAATGAAGGCTGATATGAGTGGTAAAATAGCTAGAACCAGGACAAGACCTGGTTCTACTTGGGCAAAGCCCAGGCTGGACCCTTTAGGTCCCTTGGGGGCCTTCAGACTCAGGGTCATGGACCCTGTCTCCTCCCAAACAGTGGGGCATATGAGCTCTTGCTGAGTGAGAATACCACATAATGATGCCACACCACACAATGTCCTGACACAGACCGCCAGGACAAGCTAAGGGCCAGGTCACTGCTGTGTCTTTTATTGAGAGGCAAAACTCGGGAGAAGTAGCAGTATCTGATGATATAAGGAAAATGAGACTTGGAAGAAGGGAAGTCAAGGCTGAGAATGGGAGGAACGCAGTCCAAAGCCACTCAGAAAAGTTCATTTAACTCCATTTCTGCTGAAGGAAGCTGTACATGTACATGACCCTAGCAATGACAGGAAGCCTAAAGTAGGAAACTCTTGGGGCATGAAATGGGGCTTGGGCACTATCCCTCAGCTTTTTCCCTCAAGGCTGGCACTCTACCATTTGAGCCACAGCTATACTTCCAGTTTTTGATGGCTAGGTCCATGAGATAAGAGTCTCATGGACTTACCTACCTGAGCCGGCCTCACACTATGATTCTCCCAATCACCACCTCCTGAGTAGCCAGAATTATACAAGTGAGCCACCAGCTCCTGGATTCCCTTGTTTCTGAATACTAGCTTCTGCTCAGTAAAGGAAGCAAGCTGATAAGATAAACATTGGAAAGTTTTTCTTACAGGTACCCAACTGAGCTTATCATAATACAGCATTTGTTCTTTTAGGACTAGAATAGGGCTGCAGAATTGCAAAGCAATCATAGCCTAATAAAATAATATACAAATACAAAATGTACATCTTAATGATGATTTTTAAACCAAGTGAGCTACAGCATGAAGCCTTTTGAAGTAGTCAACTTGCCAAATTTAATTCCCTCCATGTTTTCTTGTTCCTCAACATAATTTCAATTTTTCTTATTCTCTGTCTTCTGCCACCCATGACTCTACCTCCGAGTTGTATTTTTAAAGAAGTATGATCCACAACACACAGTGAGACCAAAGGAGTATACTTTTAGGAGAAGAACAGAAAAGCTCAATGCCTATGTGCAGCTGATCATACTAAGAATATTCATCAAAATGAACTCCAGGAAATGAAAACGAGAGGTTGTTTTTTTTTCTTTTTTGCTGTTTTTGTTTTCTTTCCTTCTTGTTCTGTTTGTTCCTTTATAAGTCTTTGCAAGTATAAGGGGAGGCACAGAAATGGAGGGACAAAGGGTGAACAAATGCAGCAATGGACACAGTGGCAAATGAGCTCTCAACTTGAAGGGGAGAAAGGGAGGGAAAAGCCGGGAGAGAGGGAGGGAAAGAGATGGAATCATTACCTGACTTATATAACTATAACCTCTCTCTATATTGCCTTTATAAGAATAATTAAAAATTTTTAAATGAATAAAAAAGTATGATCTACAATGAGAATGCTTTACTGTGACCCAGAACGAGAGACTCAAACTAAAACTTACATGTGCTAGTCTGACCCACTAAGTTGGTTTCCAACCCACAGTAGGTCATGACCGACCCACAGTTTAGAAACATGGTTTAGATCTCACTTGCTGTACCTTGTCACCTATAAGCCATCAGAACTATCTTGTGTCATCTCGGTCTCCACACGACCTTAAGAGCCCAGCCTTCTCTGAAGGTCAACGGCTTACGCCTGCCATCCTAGCTCCTCAAGAGGCTGAGATCTGAGGACTGGGGTTTGAAGTTAGCTTAGGCAAGAAAGTCAATGAGACCCTTCCAGTCAAACGCTGGAAGTGGAGGTTCACCAAGTGGTAGAGCACCAGCCTTGAGCAGAAAAGCAAAGGGATAACACCCAGGCCAAGTTCAAGCCCCAGCACCAGTATAAAAAAAAAAGGTCTTTAAAAAAATTTTATAGTTGAAAAATGGTAATTATATAACTAAAAGAATGAAATGAGGAAAGGCAGCAGGATGGAAAGCAGGTCTTTGTAGTTAGGCACACACACACAGGAAAGAGCTACACAGAGCAAGGGTAAAGCAAGGGAGTGTACGTTCACAATTCTGCTTAGGGGTGCTATCTCCCAGAGACACACACCCAAACCCCTAAGAATATTTGAAGAAAAGACTTCTCCGTCATCTTGGAGGATTCCATCTCCTCTGGCATCATGTTTCCTCACCTTCCTCATAGTTATGCCATTCACTTCTTATTCCCTGGCCTCCAGACCCTTCACAAGCCAATGCCCTGAAGCCTGGTCCTCGGGCTTGACCGCTCAGGAGGGGTCTGGCTGGCCTTCAGAATCGAAAGCTGCCACCCAGCACGTGCTCGCCAGAGATCACCTCTACCTCTCTTGCTGGCCACTGCCTCACGCTGCGGCACCTTATCAAGGGTGAGATACACCCAGTATCCTGTACCAGGCAAGGTCCTCTGCATGCTACCTCCCATCCCCACACATCACACTACCAAGGAGGCCTAGATGATGGTCAGTGCTGGAAAGGGAATCCAGGTAGGCAAAGCCAAAGTCCAGGCTCTTTTTACCATCTCTCAACACCATTTAAACTGTCCAACCACAGGCAAAGCTGCCTTTGCTGCCTGTCTCCAGAAACCCAATGGCAGCCCTGTGGTGATGGGATGAAGAGTAGGAGGATCCTCAACATAGCATAGTTAGGCTGCTGTGTGTCTAGGAGCAATCACTGAGGAAGATGCCAGCCTGCACTCAGCACTGTGAACCTACCCGCCTTAGGGTTCCTCTCTGTACACACAGCCCATGAAATCTGCATCTCTAACAAGGCTACCCTTTGGGGACCTGCTGTGAAAGCTAACGGTAGCTGGCAGCAAGCATGAGGCTCACTTTTCACTGTGGCAATGCTCCTGGCTCTGCCATTTTCCTTCGGCCTGTGTTTCCTCCACAGCCATGATGCCACCGCGCCCTCTAGAGGCCACCCTTAATCGTCCCTAGCACACAGCAGAAATAAAGGAGGTACTCCTGATGTTCCCTATCATCAAATGGGGTCTAAGGCTCCCCTAGTCCTCCCAGAGCAGCAGCTCCTCCAAGGAACCAGATGTGAGGCTCTCATGTGGAGAGTAATGAATAAAAACATCTTCTCTGGATGGATGAGGGAGCACACACCTATAGTAACAGTGCTGGGGGTGGGTGAAGGGAGGAGGAAGGATTGTTGAACTCAGGAATGGAGGCTAGCCTGGCAGTACAATGAGACTCCTTCTCGAATACTCCCTCTCCTCCCCCCCCACTCACTTTCCAGCTACATCTGGAACATCCATTCTGGAAAGCTATGCTGACCTTTCCCCAGCTCACCACAGTGAGAACGCAGACAAGTGGTCACACAGCAATCCGGTGGGACCTACCTTGGTCAGATCCATCCCAAGTTTGAGTTGTGAAATGAGATGAAGAATTACACTGCGCTGATCCTCCATGACGCCCAACTCTGTCTCTTCCGTGTCTTCATTGTCACTTTTTTCATCTTCCGACAAAACCAATTCACGGTCTGAGTTTGGCTAAAATGAAATCATTAACCATCACCAGCTTGTCCTTTAAAAATTAGAAATGCAAATCACTCCCGTGCTAAACAACATCCCATCATACCCACCCCACCCCCAATAAAACTAATACTGCCCCAGAACTTTCTCTGTAAGCCAGTCCTCTGAGAAATGAGCAGAAAATGATACTGCCCAGGGTCAGGCATCGTTCACCTCCGCTCATCTCTACGCCTCCAACCTAAGAAATGCTCCTGAGGGGGCTGGGAAGGTGGCTCAGTGGTAAAGTGGTTGCCTTGCATGCTTGAAGCCGTGGGTTCGATTCCTCAGCACCCATAAGCAAAAAAAAAAAAAAAAGACGGAAGTAGCACTGTGGCTCAAGTGATAGAGCGCTAGCCTTGAGCTGAAGAGCTGAGGGACAGCGCCCAGGCTCAGAGTTCAGGCCCCACGACCGGACCCCCCCCAAAAAAGAATTGCTCCTGATTTAAAAAAAAAATCATACAAAACCTCTTTGCTCTTTAAAAATCTAACTACAGTTAGTTTCTTTAAGTGTACAGATATGAGACAGCACCTCCAAAAAAATCTGACCCTCTGCAACCAATCCTACTAAGTTATTTAAACAAAGCCATTTTATAACTAAGATTTTTTTTCTGTTTATAAATAAAAGTCATATTCCCCCTGGGACTAAAATTGCTTTCTACGTGGAAAATGTAACAGAGACTATGTCCACTCGATGGCAAGTTTAAAGTCTCAGAACTGGCCTTAAAGAAGAAGACCAAAAAAATATGGCAAATTCAAGAAAAAAACTCTCCAAGCTTTATGACCATATATTTTGGCTAGATACTCTGCTTTCCTTGATCCAAGTTTATTAATTCAGTTTTTCAAATTACACAGAAAATGAGCAAGTTAATAAACAAAATGCCCAAGAGGATTATGAGCATAAAATCTGCTAGTACTCAGTATGGAGAACCCTGGCCACCATGTAAAGCTGTGCTTGGAATTCTGCTGACAGACATAAGGCTGTTTCACAGCTTCACGGCCATTATGGTCTCATGATGCTGCTCTGTAAGCAAAAGCACTCATAGAGTGCTTTAGGAACATTATCAATTTGTTTCCAGTTACTGATAACACATCAGACATAACTTTTTTTCTCTGTGTGCCAGTACTGAGGCTTGAAGTCAGAGCCCTGCATTCTCACTTAGCTTTTTTGCTCAAGGCTGGCATTCTACCACTTGAGCCATACCTCCACTTTTGGCTTTTTGCTGGCTAATTGAAGATAAGAGTCTCTCAGATTTTTCTACCTGGGATGGCTTCCAACCATGATTCTCAGATCTCAGCCTCCTGAGTGGCTAGGATTACAGGCATGAGCCACCAGCAAATGTGGTGCTTTTATTTGAAAAAGACTGTTTAAATCTGAAAGTATTAAGCCAAAGGGTATTAAATTTAAAGTTACCAAGTCAAAGGTAATAAATCCAAAAGATGTCTTTGCAAAAACTGATTTACTACCAGGCCTTAATGGCTCATGCCTTTAATCCTAGCTACTCAGGAAGCTAAAGATCTGAGAACCAAAGTTCAAAGCCAATCCTGGCAGGAAAGTCTATGAGACTCGTATTCCCATTTAACCAGCTAGAATTGGAGCCTTGAATGAAAAAGGAACCTAGTAAGTTCAAGCCCCAATACTGGCCCATCCACACATGCGCACACACAAACCCAAGAAAGTGAAGGGGTGACACTGTCCAAAATAAAATGTACTCATTACCTGAGTTATGAAATGATAACCCCTCTGTACAACACCTTATTTTTAATTTTTATTTTTTTTGTCAGTTGTGGGGCCTGAGCTCTGGGCCTGGGCGCTGTTCCTCAGCTCTTCAGTTCAAGGCTTGTGCTCTACCACTTGAGCCACAGCGCCACTTCAGGCTTTTTCTGCTTATGTGGTGCTGAGGAATCGAACCCAGGGCCTCATGCATGCAAGGCAAGTGCTCTACCACTGAGCCACCTTCCCAGCCCCTGTATAACCCCTTAATAAGAACAATAAGATTATATTTAAAAAAAGGTGACACCCTGGGATGCCAACTATCTTTCTCCTCAATTCAATACTTCAAAAATGTGCTAAAACGAGTCATCTAATTTAAAATTAGTGCCCCAAACTTCAGGAATCTTCTCTTTGGATTACTCCTTTTCTAAATGTGAGAAATGAATAAATATTTTAACACTTAAAAAAAATCCACCCTTAAACCTGATGATGGCTTACCAACCTGATCAGACAGACCATGCTACATCTGAATACCTTTCTCATACATACAGGCTATCTTCATGGTTGGTGCTTGTAAGTATCTGACCTAACCCTTGTGCTGGTCAACTCCCACCAACATTCAAAAAGGTAATCATCTACATTAGGTCTTCTTAAAATTTCAATTTAAATAGAATTTTCCATAGGCACACTCCAAATCATCTTAACGTCTCCTCTACATAACCTCAATTCTGGGCAGGTAAGGGGGAAGGCCTCCATGAAGTTTGCCTCTATCATATACCTGATTCTCTGGCCTTTACCTGTGTTGCAGACACTGGCAAGTTGCTTTGGTAGAACATACAGACATTACCAAGCTGTCCTAGCCCAGCGGAAATACCCAGATAGAAGTCTGAGAGCATCGCAGCCCTGTCTCCCCACCGCGAGCAGGACTTCATCCGTGTCTACTTTCTGCTGGGCTACAGGGGTTCCTAGGACCCAGGCACTGGGCCTGAATGGTGAGAGCTGGGTTTTGCAGGACACCAGCCTTCCACCAGCCTCCGTTGGGGCTCTGCCTTCTCTTTCTCCACTGTATTCCAGGCCAGTGTTAAAGTGGCTATTGTCTGGGACAGGCACCTCTCCCCGGGGGTAAAGACATTCCTTTAAGGTGACCTGGAGCAGTTACCTCTCTGAAATGAATCTTCTCATCTCAGCAAGGGAGAGGAGAAGGCAGCACCTAGGTATTTTTTGCTTCAACTGAATCGACTAATATATCAAGTAAAATCAAATCATCAGGCCTCTGATTGCCAGTAGCCAGGAAGCCTTCTGCAAGATCTAGCCCTGGAAGAGATGGGAACACTAACTTCTTTTGCTCCTCCCACTTTAGACTCACTTCATGTCCTCCCCTGGCCTGACTCCCTCAATTCCTCTGGTTATAGCAGACAATGATGCTGGTGCACAGACCTAGAGTGACCAGGGGAGGGGGCAGAGCTCCTGGGATCCTGATATCCCCTAAGGACCACGGGAGCCCAATAAACATCCCCCTCACTAACAGAGATCCTTAGCAAACCTCACTCTAACTTCACATAAGGTTCCAACAGTGGTTTGTCATAGCTACAGAGAATTACACACACACACAATACATACACAGAGTTCGATAACAATAATTGTAATCAGTCCTCCTACCCAGCCTCAAGAAAATAATCAGAGGGTGTGTTTGTTTTGTGTTGGGTTTTGTCCACTCACCAAGTTGCTAGTAAATATCATAGAGGACCCATCTATCCTGCCACCACTGGAGTTCAGTCCCTCTGCAAAAGGGACAGGCTAGTCTCTATGTCGGTCCATATTTGGGGTGCAAAGAGTAAAGCAGATTAGCTGGCAGTATAAATACACTCTGTCAGCATCCACAGAGCATCTGCATGGCAGTCTGATGACAGACTACAATAGAGGATTTGAAGGCCAACACCCTTCTTCCTTTTGAGGGTTTGGTGAATTCTGGCGAGGAGCTCAAAGACACAGAAAACAGTCTCTCAGTCTAAGGGCTGCTTTCCACAGCCAGGTGCCTGTGCTTATCCACCATTCTTCCCTGTCTTGGGATGCCTGCTTTGTCCCTAAAAGGCTCACACCTTGCACACCTATAGACTTTTACCTGCACAGCCATGACAACAAACTGCAGGAGTTCGAGGTGGCAGAACGGTGCTTCTCTACATCAGGAAAAATGGACATCATAAGGCTCAGCAAGCAGCACTCCAGTGAATTTCTGCCTCCCCAGAGCTCATGGCAAACGAGCAAACCCAGCCACAAAAATGTGCACAAACTTGAAGATCAAAAGGAATTAAAATTATGTCTTAAGGATCAGTAGGCTTAGGAAAAATGAGATATTTTTAATAAAAAACAAAAGTTATGACTATTTCTGCCACACAAGCACCTTGGGGCCTATGGAGTTACACGTATTAATGCAGTTTATATCCATTAGAAGTGTCAGAGAAAGACACATGAAAATTATGTGGTTGTCACCAGGCTACCTTAAAAACAAATGTTGGTGACAGCCAGTTAAGTTACCCAAAGCCCTCTGTGGTCTGAAAAATCATTTCATGTACACACACTACTGAGGTGAGTCTATAACTTGAAATGTGAACTCTTTTTAGGGTTAAGAACAAACTATATAAATGGTTTTTTTTTTAAGTCTTAGAGTTGTATTTTCAAACATGCTCATAGTTTAGTTATCTGTAGCCACTTTGTATTGGAAAAGCTTTTTAGATCTTGCTCCATTTACAATACATTCTAAGGATGTATGTAGTAAAGCTTTCTTTAAACAAAAAAAAAGAAAGAAAGAAAATTATGTGGTTGCAAAAAAGGTTGGGGATTAGGGACTTTCTTTGATGGCCTAGCCATAGTCTGGATCCAATGAACATTCTTGAAGATGTCCACTACCATCCTAGAACTTTTAGGCTAAGAGTGTGCATCTGGAAAAAATTTCTGGAAAGCCCATAGCTCTTCTTGGAGATTCACCATTCCCAGGATGCTCAGAGTCCTTGCCCGCTTCTTAACCAGCAATGAGGACCTGAAAAAAATGTGCTCAAGGGGTAGAAAAGTCTAACTAGGTCAGTCACGGCACCTGACTTCTACAACTCATCCTGCAGGTTTGCCTATCCAGGGGACAACTACCAAGAGCTACGGCCAGAAGAAAAATTGTTACCTGTTTTAGATTTCATGGGTTCAAAAGCTCTCACTTGGGATGCTAGTACAGGAGAATACTTGGCTTTGCTTTCATCTTTGTGGTTTTCTGGCAGGG